CAGTGCCCGGGATCCCCACCCCATTCTTGTCGCTGATCACAGGCTCTTCATTTTGGGGTCCCTTAGAGGCATTTTTTTCAGTGGAAGCCGTCTGGTGAAATACAAGAGTTGCCTGAGTGGCCAACCCTTCCGCATCGGAAACAAATGACCGGAAGACTCTCGTAGAGCACCCTTTGGGATTTCCCGTTGATATTGAAGTTAACGCACAGCGGTTTAGTGAGGTCCACCATGACCGCCAACCTCGTATATTTGCCCCGAGTTAGGGCAGCCGTTTGCTGATCAATCTTGACAACCCTTCCAACTATTCGGCCAATCATACGGAATATCTTTTTGTGGTATAGGTGGGCCGGCATCCCGGGCAACCGGATCCAAGCTACCGTCGCCGTAAGTTCTTCTTTAGTGGCATCGAAGTCAAGAGACCATGGTTGAACATGCATATAGCTGCTGCCCACCACATAAGGTCCTCCGGTAAGAACTCGGACCGTATCGTCTTGGTTCAGGAAATGTATCAGGTAAAAACCGTTCTCTAAGTACCGTTCTCTAAGTCCATCATGTTGCATCCCGACATGAATGGCCACATTTTCGTGAGTCTATTGTATAGGGAAGACATGGTGAGCGTCTCATCAAAGGGTTTTATGACTACCACGTTCTGCCAATCTTTAACAATTTGGTCGAAGAAACCTTGTGCTATTTTGATTCCCGGTACTGAGCATGAGAGGTCTAACAGGACATCGTCCTCGTCGTACCCGATTCCGTCATCATCATGCTCCATATCAACATGGTGTCTATGTTTGTTCACCATCTCTTTGAAGGACCACTTGCGAGGCGGCGAATCTGTGGAATATGCCTGATTCAGCGGCTGGATCAGCGGGTTTTGTTGGTCCATTTGATCGCCGGCGCGCTTGCGGGATTTGGAGCGCTTCGTTGCCGGGAGAACAGTACGGTCTAGGGCTGGGAATTCTGTATGAAGGTGCCAAGCGCCGTCGCCGGGATCAAATGTAGTCGCTCCGTCGAAGGTGAAACGGTGGCCATCATCAGACATCCTTAGGGTTTTATTTTTAGGATCTCCTTTCCGACCCGATTAACTTTGAACAGTATGCAATAGCCCCCTTCTTCTTCAGTTTTAATATATACTAAGATGAACACAAGCAACATTATAATATTAACATAATTGATCCACAAATAAGGTCTTTGCATTAGAAGAAATCCATTTAAACATACTCCCAAACTTAAAACCACAGGTTCATAGTTTAAGTGCTTAGTTAAGTGCTGACAGAAATAGAACTCCATAATACATACAGCATAAAGTCTCCTAGACATGTTTTACATAATCTGGAACCAGCATTCTTATTAATGCCCACTTTTCATGATTGTTCACTCGAAAGCCCACTGGTTCTCCCTGCGGACTTCCTCTTCCTCCTCTGGAGTAAAGTCGTTCTTTATGTTGAACGTCTTTCGAATCTCCTCTGGAGTTTTGCCCTTGATCATGTCAGCAACAGTCTGGCACGTCAGATCCAGAAGGGACTTGATATTCAGATAATTAGCAGCCTTAAAAA